AAGCCCATGCATCATTCACATTATAATTGTCACCGAAGTAAACATCACCGACACCACCAAAAGTTTATTTGAGCTAGAGAACTACACCATGTACACAGAGCTACGAAACAATCGCAAAGGAGGAGGTATTATTGTGTATGCTCACAAAAGTATTACATTTGTGCAGTGTTCAGTGTCAACATTTCATTTCGAGTGCTTATTTGGTGAAGTGATACTAAAAAATGGCTACAGGACTTATTTGTGTGCTATTTATAAACCTCCAATAGTGAACAAAAACTATTTCGTTAATGAACTAATCAGACTACTGGAAAAATACCCCGTGAACTCTAATTGCTTAATTGCTGGAGATACTAACTTAGATATCAAATCTAGTAACGCTTCTGTAAGCTCCTATCTGGACGCACTAACGGAATTAGGCTTCCTTAAATGTATTACACAATATACTAGAATTGAAACAACAGTGAAAGGAACATCCAAATCATGTATTGATCACATATTTTTTCGTGGCCAGCCCGACCATAGCAAACAGGACCATGCATTGCAATCAGCTGTTATACACAATGCACTGGCCGATCACTTTGTAACAGGTTTTGCTCTAATCAGCGCCGATTCTGCTAATCGCTGTACTACTACGCAGTCATTGGATAATCGTATTATCAGACAGGAGCTTGCTGAGGTGGACTGGAGTCCAGTGTTTGAGTTAAATGACCCTAATGAGATAATAGAATTTATTAATAATAAGTTTGAAAGGATATACATAAAATCTAGAACTAATAAAAAAATAAACTTGTGTAAAAAACCGGGATGTAACTGGATAACTGATAAACTTATACAAATGTCAAATAAAAAAAGTGAACTGTTAAAAATACATTTAAATGATATTACAAACAAACAAAATCTGCTGATATACAGAAAATATCGAAATAGAACTAACAGGCTTATAAATAAAACAAGAAATAACTACATAAAAAAAGATATTTGTAACAACTATAGAAACCCCAAAAAAATGTGGGAGATTATAAACAGGCTAACAGGCAGACTTATAAATGTAGTAGACGACTTTCTTCTTAAATATTTTAAGATGAAAGCCGCAGATATATGTAACAAATTTGCTAATGACTTTGAAATCAATGTTAAAAAAGTAATAAGTACATGTGACATGCCATTGCTTGATGAGAACTCGTACATCAACAAACCTACTGTATCATTACATCTGAAAAAAATTAATGAGGAAACACTCCATAAAATATTGGTTAATCTGAATGAGAATAAAAGCCCAGGGTATGATAAAATACGAGCAAAGGATATTAAATATATAGCTAAGGAAATAACTCCAGTATTGACCCACCTAATAAATAACTGTATCAATTATCGCACCTACCCCGATAAACTCAAGATAGGTATTATTAGGCCAATCCATAAAAAAGGTTGCCACTCTGACACAAATAACTACAGACCAATAACGATACTACCATGTATAGATAAGATTATTGAAAAATATATAGGGCATGAAGTTAATGAGTTCTTGTCAGGAAATGGTATCATACATAACAGGCAATTCGGATTTCAAAAAAACAAAAGTACTAGTCAATTATTGTCACTATTTACAGACGAGGTTAATGGATATCTTAATAAAAACAACATGTACTAGCAGTTATGATTGACTTCAGCAAAGCATTTGATACATTAAATTATAATACATTATATAACAAACTACAGCAGACTGGTATACAGGGTCCCACGCTGGAATGGTTCCAAAACTATCATAAAAACAGATACAACACAGTAAGCATAGCAGGTGCAAGTAGCAATCTAATACCTACACTATACGGTACAGCCCAGGGGTCAATTCTCGGACCGACTGAGTACTTGCTTTATGTTAATGACATGTGTAACTTGTTCAGACGAGCCTCTGTATATCAGTTTGCAGATGACACTTGCCTGTTAACGGCCCACTCAGATATTAAGCAAGCACAAAGCATGTTGCAAGAAGAATTTGATGTATTGTGCAAATGGGCACATGATGTAGGCTTATCTATCAACTACCAAAAAACAAAGCTTATGTACATTCACTCGCCGTACCTGAAATGTAACTCAACGCCGGAAATCATAGCCCATGAGCACCAATGCATGCATTTGCCAAAACGTAACTGTAATTGCAAACCTCTTGAACTTGTAAATGAACATGTATATCTTGGTCTTAGGATCGATAGTAAATTTAACTGGGGACCTCATGTGAACCATGTGTGTAACAGACTTAGAGCTATACTAGCAAAAATAAGTGTACTCAAGTATAAACTACCATACAATACGCTAAGATTGCTGTACATGTCCATGGCTGATTCTGTTATCAACTATGGCATCTCAAGCTATGGTAGAACGTATAAAACATACCTACAAAAAATATATAACCTACAGATAAGATTGTTAAAGTCATTAGTACCTCTCAGAGTAAAGTATAAATACAGAAATAATTATGACAGCCTGTTTAATTATTGTAAGATAATTAATGTGTTTGACAAAGCAAAACTTGCAATTATCACTGAGTATGGAAGTCGGATTAGTCAACTAGATAAAATTCAAAGGCCAACAAATCTGCGTAGCCTGTCATACCTACCGCAATTTCATATACCTAAATGTAATAATGATTATGGTAGGAGGGTCGGGGAATGCATGCTACCTGAATTATTAAATAGTCTACCAAAAACACTAAATGAAAAATTATTAAATGCCAATCCCAAATACATGAAAAATATCTTCAAAAGATTTCTCTTTAATAATAATTATAACGAGGGGGATGCGTCTCCCGACCCCCCACACCAACAAAAAAGAAAAATACCTACTAGACAATAGCTGGCGGCAACTTAACAAATATGTAACAAAAATAATAATCTAATAATAATTTTTAAATACTTATCCTATAAAATCTTTAATTTTAAGATTAGGGAAAATTGTCAAATAATTCATAATTTTTTTATTGTAATAAACAGTTTAAATTTTTTTTTTTTTTTTTTACCACACAAGTTAGCGTGCCACACATATACCTCTGCCCCCGGAGGTAGCTACCACACAAGTGAGCGTGCCACACATATTATGCCTCTGCCCCCGGAGGGGTCTACCACACAAGTTAGCGTGCCACACATATACCTCTGCCCCCGGAGGTACCACACAAGTTAGCGTGCCACACATATACCTCTGCCCCCGAAGGTTAACTTTCTACACTTAATTTACTTAAATTAAGTGTAAAAAGATTAATATTAGTGGAGCACTAATATAAATCCCTGTATGCGACATTAGGTGCCGATCCCGAACCCGAGCGTCAACATTCCGTCAAGGACCGTAGGTGCCGACCGGCACCCGCGATTCTGGCCGTTATTGCGTAAAAACTACGGGTTATTTTGCTTTGGAATGTTTTGACAGATGATTCCTTACAATATTAGCTGTCAAATGAGCCATAGACAATAAAGATTGGATGAGTGAATGGTTTAGAATGAACCGTCAAAGTAAGGCCCCTGCACACCCCCTGCACGCTCAAAACGCACGATTTTACGCACGATTTTTCGGAATTTTATCGGTTTTCGAGCAAATTTTTTGTTTCTAATCACTAGAAGCGAGTATCCAAACCCAAAAATAAAAAACCGCTTGTCAATCTGTGCAGGAACAGCTGAGTTTGACGCGGAAAGCTGAAGGTCGATTGCGCGGGGTGGTCGGGGTTGTATGGGGGTTTGTTTTAAGGCTTCTATGGGGTGTCAGGGGTGCAACAAAAAGGAAAGTTAATTTAAATAAATTAATATATTAGTGGAACTAGTGTAAAAAGTTTATTTATAAATTTATTATTTAAATAAATTAATATATTAGTGGGACAAGTGTAAAAAGTTTTAAAGGATCATGCCCACTCTAGTATGGATGATCATCCATTGCTTGCCTCACTACTTGTAGGCCTAGCATCAAAGCCAAAGTTAAATTATAATAAAGTCTAATTATTGCTTAACATTTTGTAACTTAAAATAATTTAATTATGACAGGAGTTCTGAAGTTATTGAATGTTAAAGTTGGGTATCAAAAGACACAAAAGTGCTGAAGTTTGGCTGTATATCAAGTATTTTATTCTAAATTCGTTATCGTTAGCTATACCAAAGTAAGCAGTGTAAAAAAGCTTCGCACGACAATCTTTGGTAAAAATACCTAGCGGTAGAAAGACCTTTAAAAATTAAGTTAGTTCCTCTGTTTTGTACAACAATTGCCGTAACTATTCTAGAGGTACATTAGAATTAGGGATATTACATATTGCTTTATTTTCATTTTGATGCGGGACAATTTCTTGGACCAGAAAATGGTCATTCTCATGGAACTCCGTATTTTAGGTAAAGACCTAAAATAATCTATTGGGATTTTAATGCACTCACAGTGCTATATTATTCTCACAAGTGAAAATAAGAAATAGAAAAAATGTCATACATCGACCGGGAATCGAACCCGGGCCGCATGGGTAAACGCCCCACCGCTCTGCCACTGAGCTATCGATGCACCGTCGATGAATGGCAAATTTTCTATCTCTTGATGCTCGTCTTGAAGCGACGATCCAGCGACATCTATAGTAAGTATTTAGAACTTACTACATGGTTAGTCCACATTATGAGTGGAATTCAAACCATATGATGAAGCTTGCTTAATCCATCTATTGGGATTTTAATGCACTCACAGTGCTATATTATTCTCACAAGTGAAAATAAGAAATAGAAAAAATGTCATACATCGACCGGGAATCGAACCCGGGCCGCATGGGTAAACGCCCCACCGCTCTGCCACTGAGCTATCGATGCACCGTCGATGAATGGCAAATTTTCTATCTCTTGATGCTCGTCAAACCAAGTGGTTTGAATTCCACTCATAATGTGGACTAACCATGTAGTAAGTTCTAAATACTTACTATAGATGTCGCTGGATCGTCGCTTCAAGACGAGCATCAAGAGATAGAAAATTTGCCATTCATCGACGGTGCATCGATAGCTCAGTGGCAGGGCGGTGGGGCGTTTACCCATGCGGCCCGGGTTCGATTCCCGGTCGATGTATGACATTTTTTCTATTTCTTATTTTCACCTAAAATAATGAGTTCCATCAAGAAATTGCAACACAAAGTGTAAAATACTTTATTATTATTACAAACCTAGGTATAAATTCTAAATCTTACCTTCGCATTTAACACCCTGCGCCGTGAAACCCCACAAGAAGTTAGCACACAGCTCACACCAGTTCAACCCTTTAAATGTGTGTACTTTAAAATTGTGTGCCTTTGAGTACTTCATTGTCAACATGAGATTCTCCTCGGAAGATGGAGTGAGATCCAATTTTTTCACCGCACTCGATTCTACCTTAGTTTCAGTCTTGGTTATTATAGGGCTTGTTTTGTTGGAAGACCTGAAAATTAGTAACAAAACTATATCAAACCGTACATGAAATAAAAGATAAAAAACATGCAGGTAATAACAAATTTATGTGATTAATTTAGGCATGCAGTCAATAGCCATAACTCTCCACCAATTATGTCTTGAGGGCTATTTCAGAAATACGCGGGCGACGGCTGAAAACCAGTGTTGCCTCCTGGCTAAAATACACTGAGCTCGAGCCCTTTCACATCACTGCAGCATACATGTGCATAATTTTGTGGGATGAATTATTGTTTTTATTGTAATAACAAATTTGTTTTGTAATGTATTCTGTTCCTACAAAATGTAAACGTGTATGATGCAGAAATATGAATGAATGTTTTATCTATCTATCTATCTAAATATTGTGTTTCAATAATTGCAATACATTAGGACACCTGGCGAGGAAGATGCTAAGTGCACAGTACTGAATTCCATAGATAAGGTGAAACATTTATTCCCAGAAAATGCATTGAATTCCATAGATAAGGTGAAAAAGATTTTACAAAGGAGATTGCCCGTTTCTGTATGGACCTTGGACCAAACAGAGACCCGCATAGGGATATAGTGCATAATGTTCCTAAGACTAATACTAGTCTGAAACCCAAACCACATCAAAATCCGTTGCTGGAGTCTTGAGATAAATGACATGATATTTCAAGTTTTCCATTAACGAAAAAACATAGTCAACAGCTTATTTCTAAAATTAATAACGGTAATCATTGAATCAATCAACCACTTTAATCAGTCTTTTACTTCCTGAACAGCTATTGCCACGGGTGTTACTCAGGGTGTCGTTTTATCCCCTTTTCTATTGTACTCGCGTTGAACCAAATAGTGACCCGCATTGAGACATAGACATAATGTTCCGAAGACTAATATTAGGCTGAGACCCAAACCACATCAAAATCCGTTGCTGGAGTCTTGAGAAAAATGACATTATATTTCAGGTTTTCCATTTAAGAAAAATCAAAGCCATCAAATAACTTATTTCTATAATAAGAGATGGTAGTCATTGAATCAATCAACCACTTTAATCAGTCTATTACTTCTTGAACAGCTATTACCAGCGGTGTTAGTCAGGGTGTCGTTTTGTCCCCTCTTCTTTTGTACGGGCGTTGAACCAAGTAGCGACCCGCATTGAAACATAGTGCACAATGTTCTTAAGACTGATATTAGCCTGAAACCCAAATCTCATCAAAATCCGTCGCTGGAGTCTTGAGAAAAATTACATTATATTTCAGGTTTTGTCTTGTCAATATAATGTCTTTTTTCTCCAGACTCCAGCGACGGATTTTGATGTGGTTTGGGTTTCAGACTAGAATTAGTCTTAGGAACATGATGCACTATGTATCAATGCGGGTCGCTATTTGGTTCAACGCCCGTACAAATGAAAAAGGGATAAAACGACACCCTGAGTAACACCGCTGGTAATAGCTGTTCAGGAAGTAATAGACTGATTAAAGTGGTTGATTGATTCAATAACTACCATCTCTTATTATAAAAATAAGTTATTTGTTGGCTTTGATTTTTCGTTAATGGAAAACCTGAAATATAATGTCATTTTTCTCAAGACTCCAGCGACGGATTTTGATGTGGTTTGTGTTTCAGACTAGTATTAGTCTTAGGAACATGATGCACTATGTCTCAATGCGGGTTGCTATTTGGTTCAACGCCCGTACAAAAGAAAAGGGGATAAAACGACACCCTGAGTTACACCGGTGGTAATAGCTGTTCAGGAAGTAATAGACTGATTAAAGTGGTTGATTGATTCAATGACTACCATATCTTGTTATTATAGAAATAAGTTATTTGTTGGCTTTGAGTTTTCGTTAATGGAAAACCTAAAATATAATGTCATTTTTCTCAAGACTCCAGCGACGGATTTTGATGTGGTTTAGGTTTCAGACTAGTATTAGTCTTAGAAACATGATGCACTATGTCTCAATGCGGGTCGCTACTTGGTTCAACGCCCGTACAAAAGAAAAGGGGATAAAACGACACCATGAGTTACACCGGTGGTAATAGCTGTTCAGGAAGTAATAGACTAATTAAAGTGGTTGATTAATTCAATGATTACCGTCTTTTATTTTAGAAATAAGCTGTTGGCTATGATTTTTCGTTGATGGGAAACCTGAAATATAATGTCATTTTTCTCAAGACTCCAGCGACGGATTTTGATGTGGTTTGGGTTTCAGACTAGTAGTAGCCTTAGGAACGTTATGCACTATGTTTCAACGCTGGTCGCTATTTGGTCCACTTTGGGCAATGTCTTTTATTTTGAGTTTTTATCCAGAACTATCTAGACACACGGCAGTGTGTCCGCCAAGTTCGAGCAAAAAAAGCGACACACCGGCCGTGGGTTATATTACACGAACCATTTCGGGCCAAGTTCGACCCACCTATAACTCAGAATCTATTTTATCTATGCATATGAAATTTCTAGTATCTGTTGAGATCTACTTACTTATCTAAAATACAAAATTTCATTAATGTACCTATTGTAGGTCTTGAGATATTGACGTCAGAAAATCGCTATTTTTACTATACACTCACTGACTCACTCACTCACTCACTCATCAAAAACCTAGACCACTTCCAATGGTCGTATTGACTTGAAATTTGGCATGGAGGTAGGTCTTTAGGTCAAGGTAAAGGAAAAAATCTGAAAATGGCCAAGTGTGAGTCGGTTCTAAAAATAATGAAGGTGTAAATTCATACCCCTAAGGAACTAAAACAAAAAAATTATCTATATCTTCCAATCGTCGAACCGACCTAAAATTCGTTACGAAGGTTTGTATTTAGTCAAAGTAAAGTATAAATGAGATATTTCCTTACCTAACTTAATCATAAGAAAAAAAGAAAATAAACCTTACAAAAATAAATGAAATCCCACCCAAAACATAAATGTGAAAGGCTGCCAAGTTCGATAATATTGAAATGCTTCGCCTATAAAAGAAGTGAGATCTAAATAAGTACCAAGTTCCATACACAGACCTCAGTTAAAAATATTTACAGGAATGCACACTTGATTTTCCGCAGTTTGGAAAGTAGATTCTTATTTCCAAACTGCGAAAAATCAAGTGTGCATTCCTGTAAAGTGCAGTTTGGAAAGTAGATTCTTATTTCCAAACTGCGAAAAATCAAGTGTGCATTCCTGTAACTATTTTTAACTGAGGTCTGTGTATGGAACTTGGTACTTATTTAGATCTCACTTCTTTTATAGGCGAAGCATTTCAATATTATCGAACTTGGCAGCCTTTCACATTTATGTTTTGGGTGGGATAATCTTAAACTTACTGTTTCATCTTGGTAAGAGTATTTAATTTCTTCCTATTGAGCGTAACATAGGGGCTCTCCGTATAATTTGCTCGGGCGTTGATCATCTCCAAGATGTGATGTGCTTTGAGCTCCATATGGCAAGTAATCAACCCGTCGGCAACCAGGTCATAGATTGTGTCGTACCGTTTGTCTTTTATGTAATGTGTGCCATCGTAGTAGAGCTTGTAGTGGTGGATCTTATTGTTGAACCTGGCAATATAGTAACCAACTTATAGTGTAATACAAAACAAAATTTGTCCAAATCCATACTTAATATTATATTATAAATGCGAAAGTGTGTTTGTTTGTTTATTTGTCCTTCCTTCACGTCACAACAGAGCAACATCACGCAGTTTTTGGGTTCGCAGTTAGGTGAGAGGCTGGAGAGTGTCATAGGCTACTTTTTATCCCGGAAATACATATTATTCCCATCAGAAAACAAATAATTGAAAATCCCTATGAGTATGCGGGCGAAGCCGCACGTAACAGCTAGTTGTAAAATAATAGAAAATGTGTTATATTATAAACATTGGAACTTAGAGTTTAGTAATAGTAATTTATTAAATTCATTTTTTTATTACAAAAGATTGGGAACTACTGGAACTACTAATTAAATGCCTCAGGAAGTGGTTGATGCTCAATCTACAAACAGTTTTAAAGACACACTTAATAAGTGGCTTTCAAAGTAAAATAAGGACTGTGACTAAAAGGTGAACTTTGAAGTGAACTATTTTTATTTCTAACTTTTATTTTGTACATTTACTTTTATACAACGAGCTGGGTCCAGCGGACAAAATTAAGTGGATAGCACTGAAAAGCAGCAGAAATGCTGAGATGTTCTCCTTTTTATGAACTTTATTATTTGTACTAGCTGCCCGTCAGCGGTTTCCCCCACTGCAACCCCTTTTTACCCCTTAAGAGGTTAAAAACCGAAAATCCCTGAAACACATAGTTCTTTTTTTTAGCTTTTTGATCTAATCGCAAATTTTGAAATAGATCGCATTTAAAAATAAAGATTTTCCATACAAACTTTTAACCCCTTTTTTACCCCTTTAGGGGTTAAAAATCGAAAATCCCTGAAACACATGTTTAATTATTTTAGCTCTTTGATCTAATCACAAATTTTGAAACAGATCGCATTTAAAAATAATGATTTCCATACAAACTTTTAACCCCTTTTTTACCCTGTTAGGGGTTAAAATTTAAGGCAAAGAATTTTATAAAACCTGCCCCTTAACTTACTCTATGTACTAAAAAAAACCGCATCAAAATCCGTTGAGGGGTTTTAAAGATATAAGGAAACATACATATAGACACGGGAAGGG